GCTGGCTGTAGCAGCGCTATAGCGCTGCTATAGCGCTGCACAGCAAAAACGCATAAAAATGCATGAAAATAGCAGACGAAGGAGTGAATTCCAGAAATGCTTACTCATTTCGTGACTGAATTTAGTGGAAGGATGAACACATTCCAGGGATATTTATCTGGTATTTGAATTTATGGAAGCCGACTTGCACAACGTGATCAAGAAGCTCACAATCCTGAAGGATATCCACAAGCAGTACATCATGTGCCAGTTGTTCCGAGCCGTCCGTTTTCTGCACAGTGGAAATGTCCTACACCGGTTGGTTCCGTTCAGTTCTCTACAACAAACCACATCAGTAGCTAATTATTTCAACAATCCTTGTAATTTCACTTTTTGCGCTAAACTTGGGCAATTATGACTAGCTTTTGCTCTACACAGAGCTTGTGCAAAACCAGAGTACGACCAATTCAGATCGACGTGCAGTCGCTTTTAGATCATTTCAAGCGACCTTATGTTTTTTTGCGTTTTTGTTGTGCAGCGCTGTACTGCTGCTACCGTAAGTAATAAATAACGGAGCGTACCAGGGTAGTCGGTGCGATCACGCATTTTGTGCCGTTTCGACCAGCGGACGTTTGTTTTATAAGAATTTTCACTGCTTTACACTTTGGTCTGTGAAGAAATAGTCGATATGCTGTTTGGTTCCTAAGCTGCGAGGTTTCCCATTAAAAAATTTCACGTACCAGTACATGAAACACAAAAGCACGCGAAAGCTGAATTTGAAACACTGGACGGTGAACACTATTCCAAAATTTCAATCTCCTAAATTCATTGGTTTCCGAGTAACTTTTGTATCAGAACCTTCACATGGCCATATGTGAGACCTCATCACAGTTGTCCTAAGTTAGAGTTTGTTAGGTCCCTGTATAAGCAGAAAACATCCACCTAAAATTTCCAGTCTCCCAGCTCTTCACACTCCCGAGATAATTTTTCCGGCCAAAACTTTGACGAATCCGTACGTGGGAAGCAGGCTTGTATAGAAGCCGAATTCGAGTTTGCGGGTTTGTACGTGGGCAAAAGACATCACCGTAAGATTTCAGCCCCCTAACTTCCGCGGTTACCGTTCCCAGCCAAAATCTTCGTGGGGCCGTAAGTAATACCCAGGGGCACACGAAGGCTGAATTTAAATCTGATGTGTCGTACGTGGGCGAGGAACGTTCTTTCAAAATTTCAGCTTCCCAGTTCTCGTGGTTCCCGAAGTAATGATTCAAAACCGCGCCAAAACTTTCGCGAAGTTGTACTTGGGATCCGGGGAAAATGAAGGCTGAATTTTAGCTTGCGGGGTCTCACACGGACGGGGAATATTCTTCCCCCTAGCTTCCTGGTTCCCGAGTTGATGCTCCTGAATAAAATACACCCGGAACACACACACACATAGGTGGGGTCTCTAAAATATGTGTTCTGTGAAGCTGTTGCGGCACAAAACATATATTGTCGAGATTCTCTGTGTGTTGCATATACGTTTGCGTATGCGTGTGTGCATGCGTGGGTCTATGCGCGTGTGCATGCGTGTGCGTGTGCACGTGTGTATGCGTGTTTGTATGCGTGCGTGATATGTGTGTGTGTGTGTATTCGGAAGCGAGTGAACTTTATCATCCACTTTCAAATGAGTAATCAAAAAGCTGAGAAACTGAAATTTGAGGCACATCTCCGTCCCGTATGTCGCCTTCTAAAAAGTTTAAAGTCGTAGCTCGTCGGAAAAACAACCGGATTTTGTGCAAAACTGATAATAATGCGCGTTGGAAGTTCACGTGGCCCCATGCTGCAACACTTCCATTCCACCAACACCCCTTTCCCTGCATGCAAGGAAGGGCCAAACACAGTTAATGTTAAGCCGTAGTGCAGGAATCATTCCTGCTGTTAACGATCTACAATTTTTGCAAAAACGCATGATCGCACCGGCAAGCCCAGCGCGTTATAGCCTAGGGTTTTGAAGGTCATTGCATAATTGATGCAGGGAAAACAAAAGTAGGCTGTACCTGTTTGTTTATCTAGCCAGATATTTCAGATTTGGAGCTATAATTTTAGGATTAGAGACTGCGGTCATGCACAAAGCATCAACCTGAAATTAACAAAGCATCAACCTGAAATCAAAAAGTATCAATTTGAAATCACACGGAATGTGAGCGGATTTCTTGAAAATAGCGATGAAAAACTACTGTATCTTGTGATTTCAAATCAAAGTACATATCAATTTTATGATATTAGAATGGAAGGGGAGCCCGGATTTTTGTGTTTATGATCAATCAGTACGAAAGGCTAAAAATTAACTTTCAGACCCCACTGTTTGCCAAGCAGTGATACACTGCTCGAGTTCCAACTATTTTTTGTTTAGCTCCAGAAAGTGCGAACTAAAAACTTGTAATTTTGAATTTAATTAAATGCATGATGCGAGACTCAGTGATTCAAAACCAAACTTTAGCTCCCCGCACCCTGAAGTATGACCTCACATTCATTGCAAGCTAACATTACAAAATTCCGAAATGAAGCGAGCCAGAAATCTAAAATTTTGGCAGGTTTTATGCAATGTCAGGACATGGCGCAGTAGGAAATCTGCCTTTATGCTCTAGGTCGAAGGTTTAATTTCATCGATTGAAATCCTCTACTAATTATTCACTTTTTTCGATGGCACATTGGTACTGGCATATTTCAAGGAGTCAAACCCGCCGTGCGCTTATTCACGTCTCGAAAGAAGTTCTAAAAAAAATCTACGGAAAAGGAAAATACTAATTTTTATCAAATTTTTGCTCTGCGCATGAAATCTCACATCATGCAGGTTTTTGTATTTCTGTTATTTCGAAATATTAGCGGTAGCTTTCAGTGATTTAAAACCATCGAATGTGCTGCTGGACGCAGACTGCAGAGTGAAACTGGCTGATTTTGGCTTGGCACGATCGCTATCACAGCTCGAGGATTACCCGGAAGGGCAAAATATGCCCGAACTAACAGTTACATTTTTCAGGAAATTGTTAACTTCAGTTTCTGCTAAGTTTCTTTAGCAGGAAAACTGTTTTACTCTGAATTCTAAAATATTATGAAAAGAAAGCGTAGGTGGATTAATTAGCTTCCTCTGACGCATTTGCTTAGGTTTGGGCTTAGTGCTCCCGACAGATACGATAGCAATGAGAACTAATCCATTAAGTTTTGTGTTTTTAGCAAACGCGAAATGGGGAGCCACTGGACTTGTCGGTCCCGCCTAAAAAGAAATGTAAATAAACCTTGCCTTCCGAATGATCATGACAGATTCCCCCACCCCTTTCTTTCCTGCTCCTTGAATGACTGTTAATTAATAAAAAAAATTCATACTTTTTTTTGAAATTTTTCAGAAACTTTCTTTCCTCACTAACTTTTCAAGAGACAAAAAATTTCTCCTGCCCTGCTTCAAGAAAATTTAGCTAAAAGCCGTTGACTGGAGTATGAGGAAATAAAATCTGACCATTTTAAAACACACCCTGTTTTGACTTCGGCAAGAGATGATCATGCACTGAATCCAAGTACGCGTTTCTGCATTTTGTTCGCGCAGAACTTTTACGGTATTGTAAAAACTCATCTCCTCCAAGCTGAGATGTACTCCATTCAGGAATATGTGGCAACGAGGTGGTATCGCTCGCCGGAAATTTTATTAGCAGCAAGACGTTACACTAAGGGTGTCGATATGTGGAGTTTAGGTTGCATCCTGGGCGAGATGCTTCTTGGTCGTGCTCTCTTCCCCGGTACTTCGACGATCAATCAAATTGAACGGATTATGAACACAATACCGCGTCCCTCCAAGGTAAGTCTGCAGCGCGTTTGTTTTTTTAAACATTCTTGCATATTATGATCAGTTAAGTTATTTGTGTGCGTATTTTGCATCCATAATTTTTGTCTGCTGCATAATTTAAATTCAAAATTGGTAAAGCCAGGTAACTGAGGGTTTGCAAACATTGGTGTCTAAACACTATGTGTTTAGACAAACCCAGGCTGGAACGCACCAGGCGAGCCGGTGCGATCATATATTATGCGTTTTTGCATATATGCAAATTGCAAAAACGCATATTGGGAAGAGGCTGTGTGTGTGTG